CTGTCAGGGTCTGGCGTCTGGTGTTCTCCCTCTCACCACCAGAGGTCGCCATTTCCCATCCTCCCGGACTCCGTTTCCGTTACCTTGACTCCACACACCTGTGCACACAGTCACACAGTCACACACACACACAGCTGTTGCCCATCCTGAACTCCGGTACCTTGACTCCACACACCTGTGCACACACTCACTCACACACAGCTGTGGCCCATCCTAAGGGCTATTTATGCGCCTTCCCCATGCCACTCTGGGTGGATTATTAAGGATTGTTACTAGTTGTAATAATTGTTTGTACGGGACTGATGCAAGCCCTACGTGGCCGTATTGTGTCAGAGTCTTCTGTTTCTAGCCTGTGTGTCAGAGTCTTAGCTCTGTTTGTGTTTTCTGTTTTGGTTTTGATTTTGTTTTCCCTGCAGTCTAATAAACCTGCACTTGGACCCAAACCCCTGTTTACACGGTGTTTTCCTAACCGCGCCGTGACACACACTCAAAGGACAATCTGCATCTGCATCACAAGACTCTTATCATGAGGAGGGAATACCATGACGTGCATTTACAAAACATGCTGCAAGAGATCACACAGTGAAGTTAAATAGTGGAGTACAGTGTATATGAGCCCCAGGATCTGTGTTGCACAATAACTCAGCTTTGCAAACTCTTTTGACTTTGTGGGAATATGAAAAACTAGCCTGCAGCCATTCTCCACAAATCTCCAACCACATGGCACTAGCTCAGGATGTGACACTGTGCACCAAGTGTTTCTAGAAATAACTTGCCACACTTCCAAACAGGCGACTGGCCACTTCTAGAGATATTTCTTCTGATCCACTTCATCAAGAATGACAGGGACATTATTCATTCACACAATTTGCAAAACAAATGATACGTCGTTTATGGCATGAAATTTGACAGCCTAAATTGAGATGCTATTAGAATCTTAGTGACATCTAAATGGATACTGTATAAAGCCAAGTCTTTCTAAAATGTATTAAAACTAACCAGTAAAAAAGTAATCCAATTTTTTTTTTTTCATTTTATTTTGGTACTTATCCATTACATACTAGTAGAACTTATTATTAGTGATTAGTATCTGTTCAGTCACTACTAGTACTTATTTATTACATATTAGTAGGCCTATTTCTTATTTCTACTATTCTCTTTCTCATCAATGACAAGCAGGTTAATTGTTCTATTGTTACTATTTACAATTTAAACATATTCAGTCCCTGAATGGAGATTTATAGTTCATATATTATCTGTTCACTTCGAATTGTTGTTGCTGGTACCTATTCCAGGTTAATTAACTATTCTATAGATTAAACTGGAACAGACTGTAGTGTTTCATGAATGGGTACTAGAATCTAAAACATAAATACAAACAAAGCTGGGACAGATACAAATATTAGTGCCTAATTAATAGTTACTAGTAAAGTTAGAATAGGTACCAGTAACAACTGGAAAAAGTACTGATCGGAAGTGAATAGTGAACCAAAGATAGAATTCAAAAGCAAAAATGTGCAATTTGTTACTAGAATATTTGCATTCTACAAATGGGATAGTGACAAATAGCAAAGAAATAAGTACCTGTATGTAATGAATAAGTACTACTGACAAACTGAATTGATTAATAGAGCCATCTAAATGTATAGTTGCTAGTTAAACTAAAAACACACAAGTCATCAGTGGATTATTTACTAATAGTTTAAAATGAGCATTAGTAACAAATTTAAATACTAGTTAGTTGGCATGCCATATAACTGTATATACAGTTACTGAATGCAAGACATGAAGCAATAGATAAAATATATAGCATCATATTTTAAAACACATATAATTAACAAACAAATTAATCTATCCAACTTTTAAATTCCATTTAAGAGACACAAAATCTCCTATTCTCCTAATCTATTATTCTGTCACAGCAACTTCCTTCCAGAAAGCACCGTGTCTAAGTCTTTGTTCTAGACAGAGGAAATATATGCACTGATGGGGAAGAGCACTACACATGCTGTGCGCTGCCAGCCCAAACTGAAACTGACCTTGTTGCATATGATCAAGCTTTTGCTCCACAATGCTGAGACACTGAAACAGAGATGCTTCGCTGGGGAAAGCCTCACTGTCAGTGACACATCCGATGAGCTGCCCAGTGCTGGACGCCTATTATGTTGCATTACAGGTAAAATGTTTCAACAGCATAAGCAATGACTTCATACTGTGCGTAGAAACGTATAAAAGTATGTTACCTGGTTGTGGTTTCAGTAAAAACAATGTAGCTCATTTTCATCGCCGGTATTGTTCCGACCGTGCCGCGTTCAATGTGTTACGGAGCGTTAAGCCTAACAGTTGACAGTGTTCAAAAAGCCCCACCCACCTGTGCTCCTATTGGTTCAAGTTTCCCGTCACTCAAGTATCACCGGAACAAAACTGTGTAGGCATGGCAACTGCGTTTTATAATGCCGCTTTCCCTAGCCAATAGAATAATGGTTCAGTTTCAAGAGGCAACACCCACCTGCAAAGGACAACAGTCTTTGGATAAAGTGTTTGTCAATCAAAGTAAGCCTTTTCAAAAGCCGGGAACCCTTGAGTTCGATTATTGTAATGTATGCAAAAATTATTTTCTTTACCGAAATTCATAAATATAAACCGCTGTCCAAATGGCCACAAAAATGAAGCAATCAGAAAAACACAGAAAAAAAATCCGATATTATAAGAGCAAAAAATATCTTGTGTTGATAATTTATAAAAGCAGCACAGAATTCCACCACAAAATTATCAAGTTCATTCAATCAATGAAATGACACAATTAATCACATTTATATGTGCTAAAAATTTAAAAGCAGTTTCAACAAATAGTCAATTAATGGGTATTATTGACCATATTACTGAAGGCTCATAATGTCACCCATGGGCAATGTGTGATATGTTACAAATTTGACAAAATATGTTACAAGTTACAAAATATGACAAATTTAAAAATAATAAATTAATAATTAATACATTGACCTGAGTATGCTGATTTAGGTCATTTTATATAAATACGGCTTCTGCATGACAGCAAAACAAGATGTATTTATATTTTAAAAACCACCAAAAAAGAAAGAAAAAAAAGAATTAATACCACAGATGCATCACATGGCAATTTCTCTGCTTTTTTATTAAAACCAATTAGCCACACAGTAGAGTTTGCTCAAGGTCAAGGATGCACAAGTTGTTACATATTTAATCAAAGCACTACATATCAAATGTTATTCTACAGCAGTGTGATTGTTGGAAGCAGAAGGGGAAGATCCGCTGTGCCCCGAGGGATGTGGGAGTGGGTCAGAGGGAGGAAGGGCAAGAGTCAGTTCCGGAGAGGGTGTATTATGGTCTGGGTGGCTCTTGCTACGGTGAGCCGTGACATTGTCTCTCTTTTCAAAGCGGCGACCGCAAATCTCACAAGGGAACTGGTAGGTGCTCTGAGCATTGTGCTTTCGCATGTGCCAATTCAGAGAGGCTTTCTGTCGACAGGTAAAGCCACACACCTCACACCTGAGAAAGAGACGGGGCGGGTTAGATCTGGAGCTGAAATCTGTAGTAGCAAAGCCTTGAGCGATATAGTTGTTGTGTTAATTATTGATGGAATGTTGCTGTAAAAAGTTATTGAGTTATGCAAGCTTTGGTATAAACAAAGGGCCTAATGCACGTGTGTGATGAAACTCATACTGCAGCGGTTTCTCTCCGGTGTGTATCCTGCGGTGGATGATCAGGTTACTGCTGGTTCGGAACGCTCGGGCACAGAACTCACAGATATAGTCTCTCTGATCTCACAGACACAAAGAATCATACAGAGAGAACCATATTACTAGCCACACCATGAAAAACACTAATCACTATATACTCTACTTGTCCAGTGGTTTTGCTTCCAGATACAGATTTTATATCGGACAACAAAATTAACAATATTCCAACAATTACAATAACAATATTAATAGCATTAATGTTATATTAAATAAAATATCATTACATTATTATATTTTCTTTTACCTTCTATAATGGTTAATAGTTTTCAAGGACATTTTTGGAACAATTATATTAAGTGTCTGTAACCACGATGTACTAACATTTAAAATAATCATTTGATACTACGCACTTATTTTGTACGTAGATGTTTTTATATTGTACTTATATTTAATTATATGTAACTGCATCTGTAATTATTTTCTGTTATTACATCTAAGTGTACTGTTGACCCTACAACTACTTCAATACCACGACTGAGGTGCCCTTGAGCAAGGCACCGAACCCCCAACTGCTCCCCGGGCGCCGCAGCATAAATGGCTGCCCACTGCTCCGGGTGTGTGTTCACTGCTGTGTGTGTGCACTTTGGATGGGTTAAATGCAGAGCACTAATTCCAAGTATGGGTCACCATACTTGGCCACATGTCACTTCACTTTTTCACTTTCACTTAACCAACCCTTAAACCTAACCATACCACCAAACCTGTCACTAATCTTACTCATATTTCACCTCATTAGCAGTAAAAATGTTGAAAAACACTTAAAAAAAAAACTGGAAAAAAAAACAAAAATTTTTTTTTTCCATCAAAGTGCATACAGTAGTAGTTAAAGACACCTAATAAAAAGTGGGACCCTTTTTTCACCTTGTCCATTTTGGCATATCTTTAATCAGTTTAATCTTCTACCAAATTAACTGAATGAAATATAGATGTTTTTGTGTCAAAATACAGTAGAGTTTGATTAGATACCTGGCCTTTGGCATCAACAACAAAAGATATTGGAAGTGTTTTCTTCTCCCTTTTAAAAGCTAATAAACCTATTTTCTATTTTATTATTGCATTTAGCATTATTGTTTACCTGCAAAACAGACCTGCATCCCACAAGCTGACAACCACTGGATTAGAAGAATATAATTACCATATTCATTTTTTTTTTACCTGAATACATTAATGTTGAGATACATATCAATGTATACATACTCATACATATAGTGTCTGTCCAGAAGTACACTGGATGACATTTATCACATACATCATACATATTGACTAAAAACTCACTACTATGCAACTTTTCATGCTCCTTCAGATGCTTCTTAAAATTGAATGACTTGCTGCAGGTGGGGTGCGAGCAGATGAAGGTTTTCTGCTGGAGATGTTGGTACTTGACGTGATGCTGTGGAGAAGAACAGATTGTGAGATGCTTTGCCATCTTATGTGGTGTTCATGCTTTTCCGTGAAGCCTTGCAATCAACGTATTTCTAATTTAAATAAAGTTGATTTTCTCATGGATCAGTGCAGATTAATGGAAAAGTTCTTCTCTCTCAGAGTTGTTTTAGTTCAGGCAAGACTAATGAATGTGTCGTGTCAAGACTGACTCAGCACTCACATTTAGATATTGCCGACTGAAGAAAATCTTATCGCAGCCTTCAAACTCGCAAGGCAAAATTAGTTTGGATGTTGATTTTCTGTAAACACAGAGATTAGTATCATGTAATTATGACGTTAAACAGGACATTCAAAATAAAACCATGAAAATATAACCAAATATCTAAATAAAACATACATAACTACACATAAAAACTATATAAATATAAAACACTATATACATATTTTTTTAAACATATAGGTCAGTTAACTAACAACTAATATATTTATCTTGGTAAAATTAAATAACAAACCGTTTTCTCTTTTCACCAATCTGGGACACGTCATCTTTCAATAACTGTGGACTGGAAAGAAAAAAGCCAAGAATTTTGGGATTCCATTTAACTTATTGTGAATCTTAAAATATAAAAATATGTGCTGTTAGACAAATCACCTGGTATTTTTAAGAGTTCCTGTTTTTTTGTTTGCATTGTGTGTCTCAGGAGGATCTGCTCTACTCGGGGTCCCTCTGTTGGTTAAATTCAGCACTGCAACTTCCTCATGGCTAAGAGACAGTGTTAGTTTAACTTGTGACTTTTTCAGCCATTAAGTGTTTCAGTATAGATGAATAGAGCACAAACCTATCAGGGGGGCTTTGGTTTTCAATGCAAACCCATGCAGGACTGTCTCCAGTCAGCTCATCACTGTCTGCTGAAGATCTGACAATCAGAAAAAGATTGAAGAGAATTAGTTCATGAGAATTAAACAAAATATTATAAATACAGCTAAACAACCAAACATGCAAATATATATACCCATGCTCTGAATGCAAAAGATCAGCTGCCACATAATTTCCTTGCTGTGTCTCAGGTGTCACTGTAACACCTTAACACACAGTTGTAGTTAGTCCTTGAATAAAAAAAAACAGCATATTTCTTTCAGATAAATCATTAAAAACAAAATCACCTGCATTGTTGTTTTCCCCAAACGTTTCAGAACTTGTCTCATGTTTCTGTTCTGTGTCATTTGTGGTAACTTCAGCATTTTCTTGTTGTTGTTGTCTGGTTTTTAATCTAGTCACCACTTCTTGTCTTTCTATCTCTGTGTCTGGTTCCTTCAACCTCCTCCTGCCTCGTTGTTTGAGTCTCTTTGGGCTAAATGCAGTTCTATCACCTTGATTTTTAGATGTCATTACCTCCTCTACCTTCATAGGAGACCACAGAAAAAGATGTCCGTTTTCACAGGTGTATTTCAGACACACGTCCACCTCAGATGAGTCTTTGGACTCAGTTTCAGCTTCTCTTGTCTCTGCAGCATGAGCGCTCTGATCTCGCTCTGTTGTTTTTGTGACTGTCCCAGAATGCAAGACAGGGGGAAGAGGACACGACTGTCCATGGTTGTGGACCAACAGGATGAGTTCCTGCAAAGATTCCTTGGTAGTTGACAAAGTGCTTGTCTGTCCTTTCCCATTACCTAAAGAAGCCGAATGTATAAACAAAGTAGACATATATATATATATATACACGCCAAATGCAATGAGTAACCAACAGATTTTGTGATTGTATCAGATTAACAAGGCCAAAAACACTGCAAAAAATATTTAAGGCTCGTTCACACCAAGGACAATAACAGTAACGATAACAATAAAGTTTTAATAATGGTTCTAATTCTGTGAGAATAGGGAAGTCTACACTACAGTCATAACGATAACGACACAGAGGAACGATATCATTGGAATCACTTTCAGAATGATATTTTCCAGCTGATCAGAATCTACCCGACTTTAAAGAGCCTGAGCATTTAAAGCAGCAGACAACAGAACTGCATTGTGCAATGGTGTGAACGCTAATGCATATATTGTTATAGTTATCTTTAGAGTTATCATTCATGGTGTCAATGGGTCTTTATTCAGTATTTTTGTCTTGTTTTCCAGTACAAATATCTTGAATGAATAAATAACCAATCTTAAATCAAGATATATTTATAGTACTTGAGAACCATAATTACTTAAGATACTAAGTCTTGTTTTCTGAAAAAAGTTAAGCAGGTTTATGCTTGAAACAACAATAATAACAACTATATATATATTTTTTTTTCTTCTTTTTTTCTGGATGTTTTACAATACAAAATATGTTGTATTTAGTTATGAAGAAATCATAGAGGTTAAGATACTTTATACAAAAATGATAAAGTATTATAGAGTAAATTATGTCTGAATTGTCATTTTGTTGGTAAACTATGCCTTGAAGGAGGGAATCTGTGGCTTACCTGAGCACTTGATACAAACCCTTGAAACATAGCTGCAAAACATAAAGCAAATGTCATTGTCAGTTAGACCACATTTTATCTGCAACGCTTCACACACCACCAAAAAACCTGGCTGTCAGCCAAATCTAAATATGTTTAGAACTCCATAAACCACAAGTTCATCTTTGCTTTTCTGCCTGTACTTTCTTTTAAGCTCACTCATAATTCCTGTCTTTTCCCTGTATGATTTGGAACTGGATCAGAACAACTGGAAAAAAATTGAGTCTCATCTTCGAAGCTAGAATCAATAACTGCAGATGTAATTCAACAGGAATTCTAGAGTGCACATCCAACGAACTGTCATCTAGTGGGTCTAAGTGTAACTGTATCTCTCTGCAGAACAGTATTACTGTATTATACCTCTCCAGCAGATGCTGAGCGAGCTCTGAATGAAGAGAGAAGCCCAGTTTCTCTTTGAGCTGACCCCAGCTCTGCAGACACGAGCCCAGCCGCACGCGAGACTTACTTCTGCGGGCATCCAGCTCCCTGCGCCGCTGACTGCACAAAATGTCTTTAGAGGATGACATCACACTGACAGGTGCCACTCAAACGACACTGAAGATGGAGATAGAAACACGACTGACAATCAGGTGAAGATGATAAGAGGTTTGAATATTCGTTGCTGTAGCACAAATGTAGATTTAAATCATCAGACAAATGAATAAACTGTTGAATAAATGGCAACCATTGGTTTCTAAAATATCATATTTGCAATAATAGCAATCGTAAAGGCATTGTAATGGTTCTAATTACAAGTACAGCTCAACTGCATAAATAAGGAACTCACATATTAATTTATTAATATGAATTCATTATGACTACTGTCAAATCTTTTAATTTGGGGAAAATTTGCAGCCCTGTTAATAATTTAGACATAGTCTTCTATTAATTTATTTTTAGAAAATGAATAGAATATAAAACAGCTAATATAAAATGTAGTCGATACTGACACTAAAGCACCTCCTAACACTCAGTTGTTTTGTTGAAAAAACATTTTAAAAGCTTCAGGCTATATTTTGTACTCTGTTCATGGAAAGTGCCACCGGCAGTTGCCCTCAGGCCTTATTTAAAGTATATGCATTATGTCTTAAGCTGACAACTCATAAGTACAGGCAGGAATCCACTGACATACCTAAATAAAACCGTGAGCGACAGAGTTTGCGGGGCCCACTAGCTCAAACTGTTGCCCTTTTAAAGGAGGACCCGCTCAGTCGATCAACTCGGTCTAACGCTAAACTCGGTATAAAAAGCATTAAATATATCTCGTGATGAAAACGACGCTACACAGAAAATTACGAATATCGGCTGAATTCATCTTCTCAGTACGATTATGTTAAGTATGTCTTCATTTCCAGAGTATTATGTCAAGCGATCAGCAGAAAGAGAAAACAAATCGGAAGTTTCCTGTCCCAGAAGCCTTCGCGGCACAGCTAGGATCTATGGGAAATGTAGTCCTAAAACAAACATCTGTGCGATATTATCATTTTATATGATCAGCCAGTGTTTTAAGCGTTAAAAGACTTGATCTAAGTCATTTCTAGAAAGTATAACTAAGCAAACAAAATAATAGAATGTATTAATATGCATATTATTGTTTATATTTCTTAAGCAAACTATCTTAATATAGGCCTATGTGTGCCATGATTTACCATAATGTTGTAATCAAAATGGTAATAACATTTTCAATAATGTGCTGAAACATAGACGAAATACACTTGGTTTTGTAATACCACTACAATTATTCATAGCAATAAAATGAAAGTATTTGAATAAATGGGTACACAAGCTCCTCTAATTTCTATAATAGGGCACACACAGCCACTCAAAATATTCAAAGTGCCTGTTAGCAAACGGTAGCAAAATGCAACAGGGTGAAAGACATGAGTAAAACAACGAGAACACAAAAAGGAAGCAACATCAGTTTCACATGTGAGATTGGGCTCAACCCACAGCTGCATGTATCAGATCACCCTACCACACATGCTCACTAGGAACACACAACGCACACTGCTTACCTCTCATCTCACACCCCAGACCGCCATGGATGAACTTGGTGAGTTGTTCAACCTTTTATATGTCATTCTAACACTAAAGTCTTAAACAGTGTAGAATCTCTAAAGATGTAACAGATTTGTAATCCAAAGACTGTGATGATTTTCTATTCTAAGTTTAATTTCTATTATTTATACTACACTTCTCTGGTAGTCTTATTTAGACTGTGACCTATAAATGCAAGCAGGTATTTGTGGTATGATAATTTTTCTGGGACATTTTCATTGGTTTCCTCAAATTACACTAAAACACACATCGACATGTCACACATTTCAACGTGACCAGTGGATTATCAGTGACAAGCTGTGACGTTTTAGAAAATAGACAAAACACATTAATGAATCAACACATTAAATTTTAGAGCATGAAGCATTTTTAAAACAACCAAACAACAGCACCCAGGCCATTCTAAGTGAATGTCATCAAAAAAAAGAAAAAAAAAAGATGATGATGATGAAGAAAGAAAGAAAGAAATATGTATATATAAATATGTGCATATTCTTTACTGGTAGCATTTTGGTTTATTTTTCTTCCCTGTGAGAAGTAATGACTCCTGTCACTCTTAAGAATAAATTGACATTCTTGTGAAGGATTTTTTTTAACTCCCAATCTACTTGGTATTTTGACAGAATTTAGTCAGATCACTCATTTCTATATTAAGTGACTTTTTCTATGTCAGCAAAAAAGTGTGGCAAAAGTTTGAAATTCATGTGTTTGTTATTTCATGTTCTGCATCCGTTATGATGAGAGCAACGTGCCTTTTCACTTCCTCAGGAAATGACACGGATTGCTAACGTACAGTGGCTTTACCTTTAGTTCAATCATAACCATGATTGCAGACTTTTGTTTTGTTTTGTCAGTGTATGTGTCAAAGTTTGTGTGCTCAGTGTCACTGATTTCAGTGCAGGTGTTTCACATGTGTGAATATAATATTGCAGACATGCTTTTAGAGGAGTTGGCTCAGAGCTCCACCCAGACTTCAAATGTTCCTGCACCCATTCCACCCAAAACTCTCCAACTGGGAGCCTCGGTTAAAAGTAACAACACAACTCAGCTTGAACAAGTAATTACATTTCAGGCCAATTCATTTTCATTTTCAAATTGAATTTAAACAAGAATTTGAAAATCATTCAAGTTTCGAAAACTGTTTGGGGTTGGTAATATTTGTCTCTTATGCTTATATTATTACAATTTTAATAATAATAACTGCTTTCTATTTGAATATATTTTGATGTGTAAGTTATTCTTGTGATAACAAAGCAGAATTTTCAGCATCATTACTCCAGTCTTCAGTGTCACATGATCCTTCAGAAATCATTCTAATATGCTGATTTGGTGCTCACTAGTTGTTCCATTGTTGTGGAAACCGTTATACATTTTTCAGCATTCTTTGAAGAATAGAAAGTTCAAAAGAACAGCATTCATATGATATAAATAAAATATTTTTTTACATAATTTTTGCTGTCATTTTGGACAAATTCATCCTTGCGGAATAAAAGTATGAATTTCTTAAAAAAATTAAAAACCTTACTGACCCCAAACTTTGAACTATTAAATGTCTACAATATTTAGGCCCAAACTGAGCCATTCGAATGTCTTTTTCCTCCCGTTACAGACTGAATCTTCTGGATTTGTTGCTGGTCCAGGAAAGACATATAATCCCTACAGGTATATCCACCTCTTTCCAACATTTGTAGCAGAAAGAGCCTGAGTAAAAATCTGTTGATGTATCATATTTATAAAGTATGGTTAAAAAACCTTTTGGCATACATGGTGTCCTTTGAGGTTCAGCTGTTCAATGAGAAGAATCTTTTTTTAGTGTGGTTCCAGTCCCCGTGGAAGCAGGAGTGATGAGTCCCGGCACAGCTACACGAGAGCTCGACTCCATCATGAATGAACTGCTAGGGCTAGGCCTGGAGGTGAGAGAAACATGAGGTGGACATCAGTTGACCTGTTCATGCATCAGCTAAGTTAAATCACTATTGCACATTATGAGTATCACCTGAAGAGGGCAGTATAGGCATATTAAGGCTCCTAATATATATACCCCCTTAAGTCAATTATTTTAAGAAAAGTCATTCAAATTGTCCAAAAATGCTTTATTTTGTAGGTTTCAGAACCAGTTCCCACATCAAACCCACCTCCAGTGGCTTGCAAGTCAATAAAAGACAAAAAACCTGAGGAAGCTAAAGAAAGTGATAGTGGAAGCCAAAAAGAGACTAAGAAGCCACAGCATCCTCCTCTGTCAGAGAAAGTATCCAAGAATGTGGATGCTATAGACGACCTGCTGGGCTCTCTCAGTACGGACATGGAGAAAATGGGGGTCCGCACTGCTGCCAAAGGCCATTGTGCTTCTTGTGACAAGTGTATAGCTGGGAAGGTACAAGCAAAATGCAGACAACAAATCTGCAAATTACTATCAGTTTTCGGTATGAACAAATATGTCATCCTATATCCCAAACTGCAGATGATCACAGCTCTGGGTCAGGTGTGGCACCCAGAACACTTTGTGTGTACGGCATGCAGGGAAGAACTCGGCACGTGTGGTTTCTTTGAGAGAGATGGCAAGCCGTACTGTGAGAAAGACTACCAGAACCTCTTCTCCCCTTGCTGCGCTTACTGCAAGGGTCCTATTACTCAGGTGACCTGCCATATGTCTCTATTTACCCTCTGAAAGCTCCTTGTTAGAATTTCCTCGGGCATGTTAATTGAAAATTAGACAAGTTCAAAACAAAATTATAGTTTTTATTAAATATATATAATTTTATTTTTTCCACTGCTGTATATTACTCCTTTTTGGGCCTTACCCACCAGTTGAGAACTACTGCTCTAGACCCAACTACTAAACTAATTACAGTAAATAGCAATACAACACAATAAAATTACTTAAAATAAAACAAGTAAATAAATAAATGTGGAATATAATTTTCAACTCTTTCACTTCAACAAATGAATTATTCTAGCCAATGAAGCAGGTGATAATTTATTGTGTTTTGCACAGAACATTCTAACAGCGATGGATCATACATGGCACCCAGAACATTTTTTCTGCGCCCACTGTGGAGATCTGTTTGGACCTGATGGTGAGACAACCGCAGATTCAGTCATTATTTGAGAAATCACGTTTTGTACTGAACGAATCTGTCTTTTCCAGGTTTTATGGAGAGAGATGGTAAACCATATTGCTCTAGGGATTTCTACCGCCTCTTTGCACCCAGATGCTCTGGCTGTGGAGAGCCAGTGAAGGAGAACTATCTGTCTGCAGCCAATGGAACCTGGCACCCTGACTGCTTTGTATGTGCGGTGAGTGAATTAGTGGCATTGAAGGCTGGAATGCAATACAGTCATGTGACTCACTCCTTATAAATAAGGAATATGGAGTCAGTCAGTCTGTACCATTGTGGTGAGCTTCAAAGGTGAATTCTTCACCTGCTCAATCGATCACTCCAGAACATTCTTTTTCATTAAATGTTTCTGCATCTCTCCAGGACTGTCTGAAGCCTTTTACAGATGGTTGCTTCCTTGAGTTGAACGGTCGGCCCCTCTGTTCCCTGCACTATCACTCTAGACAGGGCACTCTGTGTGGGACCTGTGGAGAGCCCATCTCGGGTCGCTGCATCGCTGCTCTGGACCGCAAGTTTCACCCTGAACACTTTGTGTGTGCGTTCTGCCTTCGGCAGCTGAGTCAGGGTGTGTTTAAGGAGCAGGGAGGGAAGCCGTACTGTTCGGTATGTCACGAGAAACTCTTTGTGTGAAAGAAGTGACGTGATTCCAGAAGTGTTTTCTTCAATAAAAACAATATTTAGGGAGGGACTTCAGCTTGCATCATGATTATTTATTTAGATTTCATTTAAGATTATTTTAATATATTAGTAATAATAAAAAAGAAAAGGCACACTGTGGCCCTCTGGAAGTTTGCTGAGTCCCCCTAGTGGGCCCTGGCTCCCTGATTGAGAACCACTGTTTTAGAAAGAAATAGCAAGAAGGAAGGAGTGATACATACACCATTTTTCTATTTTGTTTGAGAAAAAAAAAACTTTTTAGAGAATGCAAATCAAATGCAGGAAAATGTAAACTATAGCAACATGTTTAATGTCATTATTTCATATCATTTTCATGATTCTAATACATGTTCATACAAGTAAAGGATTCAGTGTCTTTTACTTAAGTAGACTATGCCATTAATTTAATTTTGCACTCATAGCATAACAAAACAAACATACATCTCCGCAGGCCTTTAAGGAGATTTCTGGGTCTTGTAAATGCTATTGATGTACTGTTATTTCTTTTAGGTTTCAATGATTAAGAAGACTCAAGATCCTAATTAACATAATACCATATGTTTTCATAGCCTATGCATTACAGTGACATCATGGGGACATTTTCTGTAAACATTCAAAAAGGGTTAGAATAACACCGACCGTCATTTTCTTGCTTGAATATACATGAACTCTACAGAAGCCGGTAGATTTTGTTGTGTGCATGTCAAGATCACATGAGTGAACATCCCTATAGGCATTGCTCAAGATCCCTTGTTTTGTCAGTTCACTGCACTGTTGCTCAGGGTTCAGTCAGGCAGTAAGTTAAGGACGAGCCTTCTCATCTTCAAAGAATGCTCCTTGGTGGTAAGACATGACAGCTGCTTTCTGGGAGGATGGGTCAAAGATCAAGATGTTAATCACACCATAACAATCATGAAGCACAAGAACCACCCACAGTGAGTGGACAAACACTCATACAGTATGTGGTGAATTTAAGATTTTAATGCAGTGGCTTAATCTAGCGTTTGATTACCATAAATGGCACAAATTCAGTCACAATGCTTTCACTATGACAATACTGTTATGCCATAACTGACATCCAAGAAAACACTCCTTATATGTTTTAATGCTAGGGATCCCCAAATATGACAATCCCCTATGAGAACACCTTCCTCAAATATATATTGATTTTGTATTAAGTTAATTTAAATGTATAAAGTTTTAAGTTGTATTAATTAGAAGTTGTGTTAAGTTTGTATAAAGACTTTTAAAGCCAATTAAAAAATTTAAATTCACACTATAGCATATTATAGCGTTTTGTTTTTAAATATCACAAAACAGATTGTTTTTTTTTTTTTTTGCTTTTCTGCCAAATTTTCAGAGCTGAAGGTTTGAAAAAGCTCTGAAGTATCTTCCTCTCATAAATAGAAATTGGGAAAGAGTGAGAGAGAAGGGAAGAGAAACACAGAATGCAGTGGTTGAAGACATGTGTACGCGTTGAGTTTATAAATCATGCTGTCATATACATTAGAACTCTCTTTTCTGGTTTACACATACTGGATTAAAATACGTTGCTGTCACAAAACAACAGAAGCTGCTCTCTTTCCTATTTTCTTGCTCCCTCTTCTCTGTTTACTGTCCCTTTGCTCAAATAACTGCTAATCTAGCTTTAATATAGAACTTCCTGAATGGGGTTTCGGTTTGAAACCACACTGCATACAACCTGAATTTTTTCAGAGACAGGATAGAGATTAAATAGGTTGGAATTCAGTACGACATTATTATGAGCACATATTGAGCTCTGAGCACTTATTACTGCAGGTTTTTGAATCATATTGAATCAGACATGTCTAATTCAATGAAGCTGAGACTCACTACAACCAGTCACATAGTATTGGTTCCCATTTTTATAGACAAAAAATATAATGGAAATAAATGAAAACCGAAATGTTTGATTATCAACATTTGGGAAGAAATTAAGTCATACAAGTTTGGAATGATATGAGGGTAAGTAAATTATGACACAACTAACACAACAATAATGACTTTTACTGCTGCAATCAATTCAGTCAAATTCACCAAAGAATCATTCAATGTGTTTTGATAATCCGGTTCATTGAAAATAATGCAGGTCTCGATTTCTTTGTGAGTAAAGACTGGAATACACTACACGACTTTTAAAACCAGCCATCATACACTTACCGATTTTGTAGCTACAATGAATGAATGAGGCATTTATATAGCGCTTTATTGTGTATTGCTGTACACCCAAAGCGCTTTACAATCATACACTAAACAAGTGAGGATCATACACTACCAGTCTTTAAAGTCATTCAGATCACAGCAAACTCACACAGAAATGTGCGCCTTGTTGCTAGGAGATGCATGACAAATGAAAACAATGTGTTCTAAAATTGGCTCAAAATATCAAACATGTTTGATATCCTCCAAATGGATGGTTTCATAGTCTGAAGCTAAAAAATCGGAGTCTGTGATCGTCATACACTAGCGATTTTCTATTAAATCTGTCAACTCAAATCTGCAGACTTTCTCTGACTTTCGGCAACTAGCGTCAACTTCTCCAGATTGTAAATCAGGGCAAAAGTCTGGACAAACGTTGTGTAGCGTATTCTAGCCTTAAGCCATCAAATAATTTATTCAAACAATTCATTCAAAAATGCTGAAGTTAATGTTTTTATAAGTAAGTCATTGATTCATTCACTCAAACATATTTGTTCAAAATATCATTCATTTAGGAACAAAACACCACTTGCTCTGTTTTTACTGCTGCTTTGTTTGGAAATATTTGCATGGGCAGAGCCAAATTAGACAAAGTACCTGGCAATTTTGTATATAAAATGTAAATGACTCAATATTAACCTCTTGCTATTGTTTAAAAGCAATAATCATCCAGCTTGCTTCAATAATATGAGAGAATTATTGGGAGCAATAATGTTTAGTACTTCTAAGGCCATAGGGAATGAAACAGGAGTGCTCAACCTCATTAAAGTGGCAGAAATAAAAGGCCTGTCAATAAGTGTTGGTGTGGCAGGAGTCACGTGACATTTATAGCTGTATTGCTGACGGAGGACAGTGGGTGAATTGGCCCGTGAATCCTATAGGGTGGGCAAATAGAGGGGAGTCGTTCTGAAACACTAGCCTTACCTGAACCAGACCTTGGCCTCTCTGTCACCCCACCAATTCACAAAGCCACGCCATGGGTCACAAAGCACCATAAATTCTGCCCAACCTGGCAACCCTGAGACCGCACTCCCATAATAAACAATGAAGCCAATAAGTGTCCAGTATGTCACTGCTAGACAAGCCAGTGAGTGTGTAACCCCACGAACAAAACCGCATTCAGCGGTCTCAGGCTCCTTATATAAAGGACTGGAAAGATGAATGTGGTTCGCTGGATGCCAAAATGATTAACTGTATGTGATACTTAATAAAACCAATGAAGTCAAATGTAACTTAATCTATTTATGGAGCAAACGTGAAATGTGGGAGTGTCAAAGCAGTGTTTTATTGATTTATTTGCCATCACCAACATGGAGACATCTCGTAACATTTATACTTATCCGATCCAGATGGCTGCCAGTGCAAAGTAAGATGTCAGAGAGACCACAGAAAAACTGAATTTAGAAATATGTAAGGCAGTGACGTAATGCAATAAAATAAAAAAAAACGCCAAACTTTTTTTTATCTTTAACTACACTTGAATTCATTAGACAAATAGCCAGAAATATGTTAATGTCTTCTCTAGTGATAGTTGCTAGAAATATTTGTAAAAGTCTGACATAATAAATAAATAAATAAATAGATATAGATAGATAGATAGATAGATAGATAGATAGATAGATAACAGTAAATAGTAAAATTGCAACTGATAGAAAATTGTCTGTTATGTTTGTTTATGCATATTTGTGTAAAAAGAGCTCTGACATTTTGTTATATGGAGAAAAAAGGACAGAATTTTAAAAAGTTGTAGACACAATTGAAATTAAACCAAATGCTGTTTTTAGTCTTTTTTTTAAATACATATATATTAGAAACTATCTGTATAAAATGTAATTATATAATAAATATAAAAATATAATAAATATAAAATAATAATAATAATAATATAATATAATTAAAATAACATGATAACATAATATATAAATAAAATAATGAATAATGAAAAATTACATATATTTTCTTCTCATACACTTCATGCAGGAAAAATGTTGTGAGAATTATTGACCCCTGACAAAATATGTGACCCGTAAAGTAATTCGGTTGAAGCTTTTCCATTTCCATGGCAAATCCTGAAGTACCGTCTCCAAAAATATAATGAATAATACTTAATATTTAATGATGTTTTTAGCTAAAAGGTTAAAGCTATAAGCTTTACAGTACACAAAGTTCAAGTCACTGGTCTGTGTAAGGAACTGCCCCCTAAAGAGTGGTTTTTAAACGAAGACAAGAAGTGACAACTTCAACACCCCCTAATTGCTTCTTGGTGACACAGAGTCCATATATTAATAAGTAGAAGCTGGAGGAAAAGGGCTGCATTCCCCCTACCATTACCCCTATTTGGTTTGGCCCACAGCCAACCTAGTGCAGGTATCACATCAGATTAATGACTAGCTTCTCTGTACAGAGGACTTCCTGTAGTGCTTAGCTGAGGCTCCCTGTGCCAGGCGACTTTTTTTCCCCTCTTTATCATTAGATCTGTGGTTTCACGCTCTCTTTCCTTCTGCTTCTGAGTTGTGGCCTCTAATTCCTTCGCTCAAGTAAGGCCTCATGGTTTAAATCAGAATGCAACAAGCTGTTTTGTTGCATTCTCTTCTTTTGCTTCTGTAATTTCAGCTCATGAGCGACACCAGTCGGTAATGCTAAATAATGACTGTTTTCAAACAGGTGCTCCGTTGATTTGAAGAGTCAACATTGCCAGGATGCTCAGGAGAAAATGGTTTACACACTTTACATTTAAGTTAAGTCTGAAAGGTATATCATTTTAGATTTGATGCTTTATATTAAAGGGATAGCCCACCTAAAAATGAAAATTCTGTCATCATTTACTCACCCCTCATGTCGATCTAAAACTGTATGACTTGTTTTCTTCTGTGGAACACAAAAGAATGTATTTTGAAGAATGTTGGCAACCAAATGGTTGTGAGTCCCATTGACTTCCATTGTATGGACAAAAATACTTTGCAAGCTATAACTATTTGGTTACCAACATTCTTCAAAACATCATCTTTTGTTTGAGTGGCTATACCTTTAAAGAAATATATGTCTTTATCAGTTGTGGGCCCTCTGAAATGTGACTCATGTGTGCAGTAAGTCACCAACAGAACTCAAAAAGAAAAACAAAACTGCAAAAAAAACAGAAAAGTAACTATGGAGACAGCAGCGATCGGAGGCAACCTGGGAGAGCTTCAAATCAACCTCAGACCGCAATCCTCCCACACACTAAATCCTCCTCTCTCATCTCTCCTCTCATCTGATACTCCTCCTCCTCCCCTGAACCTGAAAAGTGCAGCACCAGCTTCATGAAGGCCTGATTTAGTGTCGTTCAGAGGCTGCTGAGGGTGGTCAGTTCCACGCTCCGCTGACCCCCTGAGATTTGTGGAAGTGTGAAGGTTGTGAAAGAGAGCTCTCTTGGGTGATACTTGCTTAAGCGCTGATGGGAAAACAAATGTTGACATTCGTCATCTACAGGACCTGATTCCCCAAAGTCTCATGCACTATAAATTTGATGGTTTGTTGTGTAAAATTAAGAGTCTCCAGATGTAAATTTGCTTCCTAAAGTCAAAACTTCTTACAGTCATGCATTTAAACGTAAAATACATAATACAGCAAGATAAAAAGCTTTCGAGCTGTGTTTTTTTATTTGGTTTATTAAAAATATAATTTAAAAACAAAAAAATTACACAATAACACTATGCAAATAACTACTTGGATGCCAAAATTGAGTTGTTGTTTTTTTGTGCAAAATCAGATTACAAATACATATATATATTACTATTTAAAAGTTTGAGGACAGTATTTTATTCATTTATTTATTGAAAGAAATTAATACTTTTATTCAGTAAGGATGCATTAAATTATCGAAAGAAAGGAATTACTTTCAAGCTGAGTTGCAATTTTTACTTAATTTACTCAGTTCACCTTGAGAAAAAAAACATACCATTAGAACAACCCAATTTAAAAATACTAAAAAGAACTATTCACTTGTCAAAAGCTGTTGTAAATTAACCTAGTATCCTAGAACCTCCACTGGTGCCCCTTTAAAAAAATATTAAAAATAGGTGTACGAGTCTCCTGCTTGCAGTGG